GAATTTGGAGGTCTATATTTACACGAGACTTATTGAAGCATCCCATGTACGGGAACCCTTTTCCACTCCTTTTGGTCTTGTTAGTGGCTGCGAGTAAGTAAGATAACTTGGTATCAAACTTTAAAGTTGCTCTACAGGTCAAGTACTTGGTGTCACTATGCCTTGAAGTTTCCACCCACCATGTCCTGCCAAAGCAAACGCCTGCAAGGGTAAAAAAACTGGGTTACATCAAGGTCAAAGAAGACTCGAGAAAAAGAAGTATAATCATAGTCCAAGTTAAGGTAAAATTTTGCAAGAAACATTTCTTTTTTATATAAAAAGAAGCTTTGTTAATATGAGAGAGAAAATAACAACAACAGTAGACATCCTCCTTAAAAAAATCATAACGGTATAAAAAATGATTCCATCCTACGGTATGGAAATGATAGCATCCCAATACTGGTGGAAAGTATAGAAACTTTGCCAGTAAAAAATTAACACCATTTTCCTCCGTAAATCCTGTCTACCCAAATACACCTGTCCAAGATCATTACCTGGGCAATTCTGTCACAATCAATAGATGATCCTATCCAAAACCATCATTAATATGTTGGTCATATCATCTCCAATTTCTGAGCATAACCAATTAGATACTAAGATTGAATTTCTCATTCAGCTTTCCCTTGTCCTATGATTATAGGTTACTTTGGATATTGGTTCTATTCCTCCATTCTCAATCTACAATGATAAACCGTGATAGACCACAGTTGTTCCTGTTCCTAATAATACTTCCGGGACTCTTGACCCAAGGCAGGTGTATTGCAGCTTACACCATGACTTTGCCCCTATTTAAGTTGTAGAAAACAGTAAACAACATCATTAGACATCTCTAATGAGTCCAGAACACATCTTAACGCATCTAAAGTCCAGCATTAATAAAATCATTAATAGCAAATGTAGCCCAAATATATATAAAAAATTCTTCCGATCCCGTTTTATCTAACTGTAAAAGCATAAAGCACAAATCATAAATTTAAGTGAACCTGCTTCTCCTATCCTTTGATTAGCAAAGAATTAAGTGTCTTATTTTTCTCATCTTCACACGAACTTCAGCGACACAAAGTTTACATTTTTATTTGGAACAAAGAAGGGGGAGAATAGCCTTGAAGCCATGAATTGTTTTTGGCATCTCCACTGGCGTACCGTGTATTCCAATTAAAGTAAGTTATGAATCCCCTGTTTGCCTGAAGTGGAAAGATGTAATGACAAGGCCATGTAAGCTGGTAAATACTACCATACCTAAGAGGCCTGGTGCCTCCATGATTCTGTGCTTCTGGATGAAGTAGAAAATATATCACAACAACTGAAAATAAATTATTCTTATTATTTTTTTATTTTTGTTTTTCCTCTCTTACAGCAACAAAGTGTCTTGCCTTTGGTGTAGAATTTCACACGTAAAGTCTACTTAGAAGCATGTTGGTAAAGATTCTGTATGTTGATGTGCTCTTGTAAACATCTGTCACCGGAGAAGTTGGCAATGCTCTGAAGGAAACCAACAAGTTCAACAAGAATGTCCTTGGTGAAGGTGGTTGTTAGGGTCCTTGTTTCATGATCCTAACTTGAGAAGAAGGGAACAGATGAAGGAAGATTGAAGATAACACACAAAATTCAAAGAAGAGATTAGAGGATCGGAAGAAAGTTCCAAATGAGGAAATTGATAATTTCATGATTTTTCTGAATAATCAGAAAACAACCAGATTTCAGCGTATGTTGCTGGTAACTGGTTTCCAAGCAAGCTAAGATAAATATAGTAAAATCAAACAAACTTCATAAGCAGTAACAAAACTAATGGATAAGAGCCACTAATGAAAGAGATAGCTGCCCAGGCAAACAAGTACAGGCACACATATATTGCCAAGCAGTATCTGTTGATCTTTTCCTTCCTAGATAATAAAGTAACAGACCTCAATTTAATCTGTAGGAGCACCTAATGACATTGATAAAAAATGCAGCTTGAAGAGGAAATAATTGGGACAGGAAATATATCAAACCTCTTCCCAGGAGCTCCCAGCGGCTTCAAGCAAAGCAGCATTGCAAGTTTTCAGTTCGACCGAAGCACCAGTGAACATAGAGGCAGCCTCCTCCCATCCTCGGTTATGTCCCATACACCTGCTACAGTAGTTCAATATTATTCTGACACAGGAAAAGAATTCTTACGAGGATACCTGAGATTAATTAAGATGAAACTCACATAACAGTGAGTATGTCATCCCTTGAATAGTTACAGATAGCTTGTTGAAGGTGGTCGGCAGTCTGGCCGTCCATTGCAGCAATGGAGTAAAAACTTGAAATGAAATGCAGCTCAGCTTCCATCAACCCTCGCATATGTTCCTGCATTATCTTAAGCGTCTCCCTCGTTCTCGCTGCATCACTGCGCCACGTAACCCTCCTTAAAGAACTATCTATTCTGTCGTCTTTAATTTGACAAAATTCAGTGAGTGAGTTACCTAGACAGAATGAGTTGAGGAACCCAACCTAAGTCTTGGAGCTTTTGAGAAACTTTGACAGCATCTGCTCGTCCAGCTTTACTCAGAGGCCGGTCGTGATCTGCTCAACAAAGATGAAATCAGAATTTGAAAAACAAGAAAGGGAATCGAACAAGTAAACAAATAATAATAATAATAATGATAACCTCTGAGCGAAGAATCTCCCCAGGAACTCTTAGCATGACGAAGTAGAATAAGGCGGCGAGTGACTGATTTGGCGGCGTAGGAAAGTTGCTCCTTCAGGGAATCAGGAGTTATAGCTGTTTCGGCTACAAGAGGTATCGAGCGTGTCCGCAAGCGTCTAGGGTTCCTGTAACTCGCAGTTGTGGTGATTGAAGGAGTATAATAGTTACTATGCTTGGTTGATTTTGTAATCGAGTAGAGGAGAGGGGTAGATTGCACAGTGGACATGGAAGGATTTAAATTGGTCAATGTGCGCATGCTGGTCTGGTTTTGATGGAGGAAGGTGGAGACCCTCAGAATCAACACCTGAGATTCAGACTTGGATGGGAGGAATAGAATGAGCTTTTCTGAAAGTAAATTGGTAAATTTCATTTTTTTACTTTTACCTTCAGTTTTGTTGTTTTACCTTTCACAAAATTACAGATTTACCCCTGGTAAAAAGCCTCCTATAAAAATCGCATGTATCGCTGCAACAAGAAAGATGAAAAGAAAACGGTGAAGAGAAGAGGGGAAGATCTGGTGCGCCGAAGCAGGTAAGCAGGACTGGGAAGAAGGAGGGAAGCTAATAGCCTCTTCCAAGGTGGGATAGGGTTGATTTAGGGCAAACTTGTAGTGAATTTCGGGTGGTATGTAAAAGAGGGGATTTCAGAGAGTGATTGAGGGAATAAGGAGATTTGGGAGAGGATTAGAGAAGAATATCCTGGGATTGAAGGAGGATTCGGAGGGGAAATCGAGGAAATCGGAAAAAGAGAAGGCAATAGTGGAAGGCTTAACAACAAGATCTATAGGAGAAAGGCAAAGATTTCAGCCAACAAGCCATTCCGCGGGTCTGTTCCGATTCCACCACTGAAGCGTAGGTTATTCCTTTAATTACTTGGTTTGGAAGCATCAGGAAGTTGAAAGATGGATTCATCACAGACGGCTGGTGTTGGTATTGGTGGGAGTAGTGGCAACGGGATGATGAATAACCAGGCGAATGATCGGGGGACGGTGACAGCAGCTACAGATGATCCAAAACAGAATCTAAATCAGGTTATCAACTCCATACAGAAGACTCTAGGTCTCCTTCATCAATTATACCTCACTGTCTCTTCCTTCAATGCTGCCTCCCAGTTGCCTCTCCTCCAACGACTGAATTCTCTTGTTATGGAGCTAGAAAACATGATGAAATTGTCTGAGAAATGTAACATTCAAGTTCCTATGGAAGTCCTCAAGTTGATTGATGATGGGAAAAATCCAGATGAGTTCACCAGGGATGTAATAAACAGCTGTATTGGCAAAAATCAAGTTACCAAGGGCAAGACTGATGCATTCAAGAGTTTGCGAAGGCATCTGCTGGAGGAACTTGAGCAGAGTTTTCCTGACGAAGTTGAATCATATAGGGAGATTCGTGCAAGCTCTGCTGCTGAATCAAAACGGCTTGCTCAATCACAAAGTACATTACCAAATGGAGATGTCAAGGTTAAGACTGAGCTGTAGAAGCCCACGGTTGCTTGTTACTGATTGGTCAGGTTTCTTCAACTACTTTCTGATCAGGGTTGGTTGTGCAAGACTTAACTGGTAAACTGATCTTACACGGAAGCATTTAGTGCTTGAAGTTAAGAATTTGATATCATGTGCTGTATCCTTAATCACATTTGAGTTGAAGTTTGTGTCATCCGTGTGTTTACTGAAGACTGTTCTTTACTTGTAAAGGGGTGGCATGTCTAGCACCTTTGTGTTTAGAAATAGTTTCCTATAGCCTGTCCCTTCTAAAGCATGGAAACATATTAATAGTTTACTGTAGGCTTCATTTAAGTCGGATGGCAGGGAAAATCTTGATGATTGTTGATTGTTTCACAAACTATGCATTCCCATTTTGTAGCTTTTTATCATCCATCTACTACTGTCAAAGTTCACCAAAATTTTAGGGATAATGTTTACGAATAGCATGGGCTTCTACAAAAACATTGATTTAGATAGAGACAAGATCTTTACTAGTCTCTTTGATCTAGGACAAATTAAGATTAAGTTGCCTACTTAAGGATTTGGGTCAACTAGACAACATATGTGAGGTTCTTAAGCGTGAGACCCAGGGATTGATTGAATCAAACAACCAAGAAATTGAGGAAAATCTGAGAATAATTTATATTGACTGGTAATAATCTCGAAGGTGTTATAGAAAAAAATGATCTCAAAGGTCATATTACAGATGAATTTACAGAATCCTAGTTAACCTTCCTAAATAGTGAGAATTTCCAAATGACAGTATATTAATACTACTGTTAAATAAAGGAAATCTAGTCATAAATAACTTTAAAAAATATTACTTAAATCCCGAGTTACAAAATATGTGATTTTTATCTATACTATTACACTTTAAAATATAGATTAGCCAGAAATATGACTCCTAATCTATTCAGAAAATCCTACTCGTACCCATTCTCCATCATTTTTTAATAGTTGGAGGAAACTAAACCTCGTGATTTGAACCGTTGGAAGTTTCCAAAAACACAATCTTGGCGCTTTCCGAAAAGATTTTTGTAAATTCTGCAAATGGAGGCACACTATTTTTTGAAAATACTTTTTTTTTTAAAAAAAATATGGAGACACATTACGTTAGGTACATAAAACCCGGCAGGCAAAATGAAATCAAGACATTTTGTAATTGTTGCCTCACCATCGTTGAGTTGAATCTCAATTGGTGGCTTAGGTTCCTCCATGCATAGAGCTTGTATAGAACTCTCCATGGGTGAAAGATTCTGAGGATTCTCAAAATCATTTCTCTTAGGCTTAGAACTCTTCTGAGGTGAAAGATCTTGAGGAATTTCAAAATAGTTGCTCTTATGAAGACATGGTGGTTTTTATCATTTCTTAACTCCAATGAGCTCTCTGTCTTTTATTCTTTTCATTGACTGTTTGCTTTGACTCCATGTCTTGTTCATATTTATACATCTCTCTTGTAACCGTAGATTCCAAAAACACTTCCTTAGATTTCAGATCTACTTTCTTTGTACCATAACTAGGATAGTAGATAGTGATAGTCCCATCATGTTAAACATGTTGATCATATGGGCAAGGCCGACATAGGATAATATGTGTAAACATTTTAGGAACTACACAGTCAGTAATGAACCATTGTAAGCATAGTAACAAGTGGAAACAAGACACTGCAGAAAAATTCATACTACCCATCAATGCTAGTCATATGGTAGTCGAAATGGCTATGTTACAAGATTTAAGCCGTTCAAACAAGTTTATTGCAACAGTCCCCATGAACAACAAGCTTTTAACTTTTATTTCCACGACAAATTAGGGTTTGAAAAATTGGAGAATGCTTCTGATTTTCTTCCATTTAACTGCTCGGTTGCCCATAACTGTAGCCAAGAAGTACTGATTTTTATCGTTGATGAAAGATTGCCATACTCTCCTTTAATGATCCACATTTCGAAAATTTTTCAAAGGAGTTAGTTAGAATATGACCTTGATGGAATTGACTATAAGATAAAGAGATTGCGCTAAAATTACTCAGAAACCAATTTGATCTGGTAAAAAATCGGTGAAGGGGCTGAACTGGTACCATGAGACTTGGTTTGGAAAAAAAAATTCAAACTATAGCAGATTCGGAGATGTTTACCCAAAGGTGATGTACACGACTGCTTGAGATCCACATCTTGGTCTTGGGTATGACATTGGACAGGATTGGAGATTGGTAGGGTGTCTGGTGATGTGCCTAAAGGTGGCAACTTGATGATTCGGAGGCTGGGTGATCTCATGGCAGTCACCGGCAGGAATCCTGGCAGGATTTCTGGTGAGGCTTTAGGAATGTGCGGTTGGAGTTGCCTGAGGTCTCCGGGGGTGGCTATCTGAGTAACTTCCTACTGGTTAGCATTAACATGAGTTGATGACTGATTCGTGGGTTTTAGGTTTTTTCATTGCTATTCTTTGTTTTTGTTTTTCTTGGATGTTTCGGATTGTTTGGCTGTAGCTTCATTTTTGGTTTAAGTTTAATCAACCTACTCAGGGATTTGGGTTATCTAGATATCGCAACTAGAACGTTAAGCATCATATTTAAGAATTGATTGAATTACACAAACAGAAATTCTCCGTTGCTCCTTAGGCAAGAGCTCTTCAATTGCTAAAGAATTCTTTTCACATGAGCTCAGCATGTCATCAACAATAAGATGACCAAATAGAAATTCTCAATGCTATCTCAAGAATTTACGTCATTCCGTAAATCACATGTGAGATCTCTCGTGCAGGTAGCAAAGTCTTGGCGAGTCATTGTACAGTTCCACCTGCAACTCCAGTATCAACATGTCTCCATTTTCAGCATTTTTATAATTTTTCACCTCTAAACCTTTCTGATACTGTTCCTTCCTCACCTTCTTCTAGTTCTGAAGATATCTTGCTGGAATGCTGTCACATGATTCAGCTTCCCAAGGAGCATTGCTTTGGAAGAAGCTTCACAGTTTGAGAAAGGTTTGAGAAAGGGTTTTGATTGATTTGAAAAAAGAAACTACTTCAATTGAGACCATATATAACATAGAAATCATGCTTAGAAAGGATGGATAATTAGCTAGAGTAACAGGTGGCACATTAAAATTATTTTTTGTAAAGTTCCATTTGATATCCAAAAACTGTTCAGCGGTAGGTGGACAAGTGAGAAATGTTAGGGTGAACCAGAAAAGTTGGGTAGAGTAGATGTAAACGTTGGCTAGATAAGTACCTTGTAATAAGAGTAGTTATTTACCCTGTAAACCATCTGCACGTAGTTGGTTCTCATAATTGCATGAAGCAACCTTCAGTGTTGGGGTGAAATGGTTTTCTCGAAGATGCAAACTTACTAGCATACTTGAGACTCCACAAGAGTTTAAACTTGTATCCAAGATATTGTGGACCATTTAGGATCCTTCAGAAAATTGGTGAGGTTGCTCGTTAGCTAGAAGTACCTTCTGATGTATCACTTCACCTGATCTTCCATATAGCCGTGCCAAGAATCCATATGGGATCCTTTGGGACAAGATATGGTTCCTTTAGTTCATTCTTAGGACAAGATTTTCCTCCCATAGGGCATTGTTGAGAGCAGAATTCAGTAACTTGAATTGCAATCAATTTTTGGATACATCTTCCGAATCCGTATAATTATAATTATCTTCTCCTTTCTCTCTATCCGTCTTCTTTTGTTTCTTCAATCGAAGCAGAAATTTACTTGGATACATCTTCCGCATCTGATCCTCAGAATTTGTATTTATGAACTACAGATTCTCTCAGATGGAGAGAAATCTTATAGGTAAGTTATATTTGGAATAAATGGATGTATTTTGTGGTATTTACTTTAGATTTCATCAACTAAATGAATTTTACAAAAAAAAATATCACTTGTTCCAAACTTAATCCAAATAAATCAAATCATTTTCATGGCCAATGAAACAAAAAGAAAAAAAGAAATGAACTATTTTGCACATGAAATATTTTGAAGATGAAATTTTATATCAATCAAGAATGTAGTATAGCAATTAATTATTGCTTAATGTCTGGACAGCTCCGATGAAATTGAATAAGCTGGCTCCTTAAGCTGCATTCTTCCACCTGACCAAACAGCAACCAGAGTGATGACAGGCAAAGGGGCCATAGAAGATTATTTCAACTGAGCTGAATACTTGTAATATGAACGTTGCAAAAGATTTTCACAAATTCTGAGGACAAACCTGTAAAGCATACGTCTGAGATAATAGATCTCCACATTCTTGGATCTCAACTCTTTGTCCCCCAATCACCCTTGCAAGTTCCGAAATCAATTTTTCTATCTCTTCAGCCTGCATTTAACAAGCAATTTTCTTATGAAGTCAACGAGTGATTGGCTGTTTGGCTACTGATCAATGACAAGTTTCCAAATTGTGGGAGGCTCAAGCTCAACTTTGGTAGACATGTCTATGGCATGTCTGGTTTCCTTTCACATGAAGAATGATTTGTTTCAGAAAGGACATACCTTTGGCACAAAGTTTTGAATGTGTAAAAGAATTGTTTCCATCACCTTCACTGCTGAATTTAGTGCCTCCCCTACATCTCCTATATCAACCTGCAAAGAAGCATCATCCCTTATTGGAGCATCTCAAGGGTGGCTAGCATCATGCTCAGAACAATATTACAAATAGAATACCTTGATATTTGAACTGAATGGGAGCCGAGTTGAGACATTCGACAAAGCTTGAATTGTTTCTGATAAAGAATGTGAATAATCCCCTTCAAGCGTGGACCAGTCTTCCAGAGACCACATCTATACTCAACGATGAAAGCCTTATATAAGGTTTTTTTGTTAAAATGTTATATTGCAAAATAAGATCTTCAATTAAGTTTGTGATATGCCAAGAGAGGGAAGTTAGATCAATTCACGCAACCAGCGAGTGCATCTATACGTGTTCGCATAACTTTATCTTACAACTAACAATGAAAGAAAACCCATATGGCCAATGCAACCAAAAATATTCAAATGGCACATTGTACAAATAGAGAACTTATAGAATTTAAAGGTTTAAATTTCAGGCGTGCAGATAAGATAGCCTTACTTGAGCTTTAAGTATTGTTGATAAAGTGATTGTTCTCTGTAAAGATCCAAGTTCAATTCGTTTCCTCTGAACAGAAGCATGTAAATCTGACATCTTCAGTCCAAGCGAGTAAAGTGCTCTCTGCAGGGAAATAATTAGACAGTGATAAAAATAGAAGACAAGATCCAGAATAGTATGAAATAAGAAAGAGAGACAGGAAAGCAGAGAGGAAGTAGTAACATCAGAGCAAGCTAATCAATTAACAAAAGCAACAGCATAATCTCATCAAATCACTCAGATATCTAAGCCAAATTAGTTTTTGTACTGCCGCTGTGCCGCTGTGTGAATGTTCTCCTTGGCATTTTCATTTTATCAGTCATGTGAAAGAATGAAATTGCTGTAACAAAAAAATTTAATTACAAATTTTCAGAATGAATGGAAAGGGTAGTACAACCAAGATCTGGGAAACTATAGACACCAGACTTGCCCTTATTCTTGTGAACAGCAGCAGCACACATACCTTTCCCAACACTCAAGGTATTGGTGGCCGACAGGGAAGCCTTAACCAGCCAACACCAGGCCTCTGTTTTGCACTGGAGAATGCAGAAAATACAGTTCAAGAGGACCTTTGGGATGATGGAGCTGGGGTGATATGGCATGATCTTGGGAAACATACTGAATGAAGAGACACAACCCAGGGTCCTTCAACTTTAAAAAGATGCAAATTATCTTAACAAAGGATGGGAAACCAGTGATCATTCAAGGAGTAAAAGGTGAAGGATTACTGACGCAGGCACTAGGTAAAGGGTGGGGAAGATGGCTCCTAAAGGCACAACAAGGAGGGGAAGACACATACTCCATTCAATACAAAACCCAACCAGGAAAGGCTCAGGAGGGAGTTAATGATAACGACGAGTTATTGTTACCTATAATCGGCAAATACCGAGAAATTTTTGAGGAACCCAACTAGTGTACTCCATTCAATACAAAACCCAACCAAGAAGGGCTCAGGAGGGGGTTAATGATAATGAGGAATTATTGTTACCTATAATCAGCAAATACCAAGGAGTTTTTGAGGAACCCAACTCCTTAGCACCAAGAAGAGAGCAAGACCACTCCATTCCTCTAATGCCAGGAAAGGTTTACGAGGAGGTTAATGATAACGAGGAGTTATTTGTTACCTATAATCGGCAAATATCAAGGAACTTTTGAGGAACCCAACTCCTTACCACCAAGAAGAGAGCAAGACCACTCCATTCCTCTAATGCCAGGAAAGGTTTAGGAGGGGGTTAAGGATAATGAAGAGTTATTTGTTACCTATAATCGGCAAATATCAAGGAATTTTTTAGGAACCCAACTCCTTACCACCAAGAAGAGAGCAAGACCACTCCATTCCTCTAATGGCAGAGGCACCACCAATGACCTTATAGGCACCCTTATCTTTAAAAGACAAAAATCGAGAAGAAATCGCCAAGATGCTGGACAGGTCCATCATTCAACCCAGCCACAGCCCATTTGCCTCTCCACTGCACTTAATTAAAAAGAAAGATGGCTCTTGGGCGTTATGCATAGACTACACACAGTTAAACTCAATCACAGTAAAAAATAAGTTTCTCATGCCTGTGACTGATGATGACCTTCTGGACGAATTACATAAAGCCATGATCTTTTTTCAAGATAGACTTGTGATCAGACTATCACCAGATCAGGAGGAGCTCAAAGAACATGAGAAATACCAGTACAGTGAATTGACCTTGTCACACCCGAATTTGCACTAAAAAACCATAATGGTAGCCAGTTTCTATGGTTAGCTGCATTTCAACACAAAACTAAAGAAAGTTTATCCTATGCTAGTAGTATCAAATGCAGATTAAACAATCAGATAAATTTTCAATTTTAAAAATCCACTTCACCAACAATAGAACAGAAAAGTTAATTATAATACTCTTTCCTTTTTCTTCATTTTCTCAAGCCAAAAAGACGAAAGAAAATGGGAACCACAACTAGGAATCATAAATAACTTCACCATTTTTTGGTTCATAACTCCCAGAAACTCTGCGCGAGCTGCTGCAAAACCCAGTGCTAAATCCCCGCAAGCTTCTTCCAGTTACTGCTCTATATAGCTGAACTCAAGTCAACAAGAAGAATATTAAACAAACGCCTAAACCCCATATAAATGTGTGTCTCTGTGTGTGTGTAGAAGAAAAAGAAAGAATCATTACTAAATTTCTGGAATCTTCAATAAGGCACAAGGAGAAAGAGCGACAAGCCATCCAGTGAAGGAGCCTGATGCCACTAGAAGGAACCATTTGCGAGCAGCTTTGTTTCTTCTAATTTACTTTCCGTTCGTAGAGGACTTCCTTAAGCGCGGGAATCCATACCAAACCCACAGGCATCACATTTTTAATCCCAACCTTCATATAGAAATGACACCAAATCGAGATTAACTTAGCTAGGCGATCAAAGATGGATTATTGCCGCACAAACCAAGAACTGTTTAGAGAAGAGCAATTAAGGTCAGACTTTAAATTGGAACAAGTAATAACCCTAAAATTCAACCGAAAAACTCATTAATATCCTCTAATAGATCATTCTTCATATCATAAACTCGATCACTCTATAAGATAGAGCAAACCAGAAAAGAAACAAAATCAACTTCTACGAGAGAAAAAAAAATCTTCTAACAACTCCAAATTTGAGTTACTGCAATAAGCATAGAGAGCGAGAGAGACCGAAGGAGAGCAACAAAATGACCCTGAAAATTTTGTATGAAAATTATATTTTATTGTATCACGTGTATTATTAATTAAAAATATATAATAAATATAATAAAAATTAAAAAATATTATGACTTCTACGTCACAACTGTAGAAGTCAAGTCAACTATAACTCCCATATCAAACCGCCTGCATTCCCATGGTCAAGCCCTTACCAGAGATCAAGCAATTAACTGACCATGAATGTCAGAAGCAGCTTTTCATTCCTTCTATCCGGCTTGTTAGATTGTTTTCTTCTAAAATTCTGTGCTGCTTTTGGCACCATTACACCAATTCAATTCATCAGTGAGCAATTAACTGATCATGAATGCCAGAAGCAGCTTGATTTCATTCCTTCTATCCGGCTTGTTAGGTTGTTTTCTTCTAAAATTCTGTGCTGCTTTTGACACCATCACACCAATTCAATTCATCAGTGACACTGAATCTATAATCTCCAGCCAAGGATCTTTCAGACTAGGATTCTTCAGTCCTGATAATTCGACTCGTCGGTATGCAGGAATATGGTACAATGATCTTCCTGGAAGGACTGTCATCTGGGTAGCTAACCGAAATAAGCCGCTTCAAGATTCCTCCGGGAGTATGAAGATATCAGATGATGGAAATCTGGTCATTCTGACTGGGAAGAATGAGATTCTTTGGTCATCAAATATTTCCAATCCGGTGAAGAATTCTTGTGCTCAGCTTTTGGATACTGGAAACCTTGTCCTCAAAGATGATTCAAGTGGAGTTACCTTGTGGGAGAGCTTCCAGCATCCATCGAACACAGTCACATCGAAGATGAGGCTTAGTACTAATCCGAGAACTGGGAAGACAGTGAAGATTTCATCATGGAAAAGTCCTGATCCATCTGATGGAATGTTTTCAGCTGGGATAGATGTTGTTAGTGCTCCTGAGTTTTTCATTTGGAATGGTTCTCGCCCATTTTGGCGAAGTGGTCCATGGAATGGCCTGATATTTACCGAGGTAACAGATATAAGTTCTAGTTACGGAAATGGGTTTAAACTGGTGGATGAAGAAGGGACTTTTTACTTATCATATACTTTTTCGAATACGTCTTTGGTAACTAAGTTTGTGTTGAGCTCAGAGGGAAATTTGGTACAAACATTTTGGGAAGAGAGGAAAAATAACTGGGAGCATGTCTGGATGGTTCCAAGTACTGAATGTGAACTTTATGGAAAGTGTGGAGAATTTGGATACTGTGACAAAGAAAGAATCTGCAGCTGCTTGAAAGGGTTTGAACCGAAGAATCCAGAGGAGTGGAAGAGAGGAAACTGGACAGGTGGTTGTGTTAGGAAGAAAAGCTTGCAGTGCAATAGGAACAATGGTGGGAAAGCAAGCCAAGAAGATGGGTTTGATAAACTGGCAAATGTTAAAGTTCCAGACTTTGTACAATGGTCTTTCAGGCTCGAGGATGAGTGTAAAGACTATTGTTTCAGTAATTGTTCCTGTGTAGCTTATGCATATAATAGTGGCATCGGGTGTATGTTATGGACAGGAACCTTAATTGATGTACAGATTCTCTTATCAGATGGCATAGACCTTCACATTCGTCTCCACTATTCAGAACTAGGTAGTTCACTCAACTGTTTTGTGTTTTTGCCTTTTCTATGCAACTTTAAGCCTCAGTTATCAACTTAATACGGCTGCAGCTTCTTCCTTAACCATCACCGAAAAGTCTCTCCACCATTTCCACATATCATCTGCTAAAGTTCAGATTTTTCCAAATAGCTAAGCAGCATACCATGGAAACCATGATCATCTTATCAAACACTATTTCCAAGTCAGACCCAAAAACCTTATCTTTTTATTTGTTTTTCTTTTGATTTCCAGACAAAAAGGAGGATTCTGGAGCTCTTATCATTACTGCAGCCATATTGGGAACAGTAGCCATTTCCATCTGCACATTTTTCTTACGGAGATGGATGGTTAAACATAGAGGTAAATTTTGCAACATCTCTAACAATTTAGTTTGAAGATAGACTGTTCACTCTTACTGTTCAAAGGGAAGAAATGTAGAAATCCTATTTGTTTATCATAGGGGGAAGTACAAAACTTTTGAGTATTGATTTGCTCGGGCATAATAAGAATCAAATCAGAGTTCAGGAGCTGCCATTGTTCAATTTTGAGATACTAGCAGCAGCAACAAACAACTTTAATCCATCCAACAAGCTTGGGCAGGGTGGTTTTGGTCCAGTATACAAGGTTAGTTAAAACTCAAATTGTTGTTGGATTATAATGTCATACTATTTAGTACTCATAGTGTTCTTGGCTCGGATTTTCTTTCCAGGGAAAGCTGCAAGATGGGCAAGAAGTAGCAGTGAAGAGACTTTCGAGTAATTCTGGACAAGGACTCGAAGAATTTAGGAACGAAGTTGTAGTGATTTCTAAACTTCAACATCGAAATCTTGTTAGACTTTTTGGCTGCTGTGTTGAAGGCGAAGAAAATATTCTAGTCTATGAGTACATGCCAAACCGAAGCTTGGATGCAATTCTCTTTGGTTAGTCGTAGCGATCAATATAGTTTTTATCAACACCAGCAATAAATAAATAAAATTGAAACTTATTCTATGGTTACTTGAACATCAAGCACCATTTTCTTTTTACTTTACAGAACAACTACTGATCACCTCTTTTCTGTAATCTTTTTCACATAAACTTGATCTAGATCCAATTGAGAGAAAATGTTTAAATTGGAGAAAGCGCCTTAATATTATCGAAGGAATTGGTCGAGGTCTCCTTTACCTACACAGAGACTCAAGATTACGAATTATTCATCGAGATTTAAAGGCAAGTAACATCTTGTTGGATGAGGAACTAAACCCAAAAATTTCAGACTTCGGAATGGCAAGGATTTTTGGAGGCAAAGAAGATCGAGCTAATACAAGAAGAGTTGTTGGAACATAGTAAGTAGCTTTTTAACATTGTAAGAATTATAATCCAACAAAGTTGAGCTCAAGATATATAGATTTTCTTAACTGCAGTGGTTATATGTCACCTGAATATGCAATGGAAGGTCAGTTCTCCGAGAAATCAGATGTATTTAGCTTTGGAGTTTTATTGTTAGAGATTATAAGTGGAAGGAGAAACTCAAGTTTCTATAGTGATAAACAGTTTCTTAATCTTTTGAGTTATGTAAGTCTATCTAATTCAAAACTTACATAAGGCTCCATATTTTAAGGTCAACAAATGCTTACAATTTTCACTTTTCAGGCATGGAAATTGTGGAAAGAGGAAAACATTGTAGAATTCATCGATGCAGTCATGTTCGAACCAAGGTTTAAGGAAGAAATGCTTAGATGCGTACATGTGGGATTGTTGTGTGTGCAAGAATTTGCGAAAGATCGGCCAAGTGTATCGACTGTTATCTCGATGCTCAAGAGCGAGATTGTTGATCTTCCTAATCCGAAACAGCCAGCATTCACTGAAAGGCAAATCTTGAATAACACAAACTCTTCTCCTATGAATTCTACTAACAAAATTACTATTACAGTTCTTGAAGGCAGATAATGACTGTACTATTTAAAGCACATACATTTTTAGGAATCTGTTTTCTGGGTTTTATGCTACACTAACTAAAACTAATTGGGTATGATATGCTTTGAATTATAATTTTTTGTATGGTATAAATTAAGCTAACTGATATTCTTGTATGGATGGTCCGAGTTTGCTTCGGAGATTGTTCAATAAAATGCCAGAGAGACAGAGACCTTAAGTCTGGAATTTGGACATGGGTGTTTGTGTTGTCTTCCTCTTTGACAAATGCTTTCTTGTGTTATTATGTGTTTGTAACTCTTCTGGCCGCCTTTATACTATAATCAGAAGTTTAACTGAGTGTACTCGGAAACTGTTTGATGAAATGTCAAATATTTCGTGATTCTGACTGCATCGATGATTGTTTGAGAGTAAAAAACAAGATTGTAATTTCAATTCTAAGTGGTTACTCTGTTAGTAAGTATTAATGTATAATACTGTTTAAGAATTTAAGTTATAGAATTGCCTGTGTATTTCATAAATTTGAGGATGATTTCTGTAATTTTTTTCTAAAAATAAAAGATTACATTGTAATTATATGCATAATGGCTAACATTTAAAGTAAGATTCAGAATGAAATTTAAAAACTTAGTTTATAAATTATTTATGAACCTATAAATTTTTTGTCTAATTTTTTAATAGCACAATAACTTAATTATAACATTAGAATAATAATTATAGTTGTAAGATAAGTTAAATGATTATTAGATCTAATCTTTTTGGGGATAAAGAAAAGATATTTATTAATAGCTATTCTTATTCCAAACTGGAAAAAGTATAAAAATTGAATACTTATGAGATTCAATGTTCATTTTATTAAAAATAATCATTAAGTTTTTTTCTTTTTGAGAATAAAATCATACAGTCGAACTTAAGCTCAATAAATTACATATAGCTTAAAAAAAGAACTAAAAAATTGTCCATTATTGGAAAAATGATACAAATAAAAAATAATTTATCTCTATAGTAAACTAGTATACAATTCACATTTAATATTTGAAAACTCTTTATGTTTCAAGTCATACAAAATATTCTTATTTTATGTGATTTCTTATCTTCAAATATCTGTTATCTATAAAAAAAATATGTATATAAGTAATAGTGAACAAATGTCCAAGGTACATGGAGAGAAGTAAAAGCATCATCCATATACTTAAAGATTGTCTTATCTTAAAATGGATTTGAATTAACCTTATTGATGTTAAATCTATTAATAAGTTTTTTTATTTTTATTAACAGGTAGATGAATTAAAATAATTCAAAACATAATAAACGAAACCGTGATTCATGCATACGAAACCATAAAATAAATACATCAGATACCATGCTGCATTTAAATTGTAAAATACATCAAACAGAAACAGACCGACAAATACATCAGGATCGGGCCCCATTAGCAATCTTAATTAATTATACATATTTACGAATTCATAAAATACCG